GAATTGTTTTTCTCACAATCCTGCGAGCTGTTCTGTCTGATATTTTTCTTGGTCTTCCAGATCTTGCTTTAACTTCCACTGTTCCTGATGACTGCCATTTCTTAATTACATTCCGAACAGAGGATATTGACATCTGAAAACGCTTTGCTATCTTCTTATAGCCTTCTCCAGCTTTGTGAGCGTCAACTATTTTCAGTTTCAGTTTTCTAGACAACTGCTTAGAAGAACCCATGGTGCTGATTGTTGGGGCAAGGTCAGATGAGTCTGGGCATTTAAAACCTTTGAGATTGACATCACCTGGTCTTCCCAGACGATGATTGAGAAACAATCCATGACACTGGCAGGTCTCAGCTTTGCAAAGGGGGCAGTGCATGCTATAAATTCTGCAGGGTGCCCAAACTTTTGCAGATGACATTTTTTGTTTTCTGTTATTTTGAAAGTGTAACTGATGGAAATAAAATCTAACTTTTGTTGACATATTATAAGAATGTCTAATCTGTAATTTGATGCCTTTTGGAGATTTTTCCATCTTTCCTTGGCTTCTTTATGCACATTAATACAAATTTTTAGCTGGGGTGCCCAAACTTTTGATCCCCCACTGTATATGGCAGCACAGTGGCTAAATGGTTAGCACTTCCACTTGGCAGTGCTAGGGTCGTTGGTTAGAATCCCAGCCACCGCAACTCCTGCCTGGAGTTTGCATGGTCTCCCTGTGCCTGCATGGGTTTCCTCCAGGTTCTCCAGTTTCCTGCCACACTCCAAAGTCATGCTGGTAGGTGAATTGGATCCTGTCTAAATTGTCCTTAGTATGTGTATGTATGAATGTAAACTAGGAACCTTAGATTGTACACCCCTTGAGGGTTAGGGACTGATGTGAATGTACAATATATCTGTAAAACACTTCGTAAATTGATGGCGCTATATAAGTACCTGAAATAAATAAATATAATTATAACTACTCTTCCTTCTGTTAATATCAGTGGCATAAGGGGCTGGGCGGAGCCTGCATAGGTTGCATAAGGTGGGGTGGAGCCTGCAGGGGGGCATATCAGCAGGATGCAGAGTAATAGCAGTACTCCAATCAGAAAACTAATTATACTGGGATGGATTTGCTTCCATGCCCTGGTGTGGGTCAGTTTGAAATAGGAAAGCAGGGGGAATTGTAGGATCACCAGGTATTTCACACAAAGCAAGAAATTAAAAAAGAACATTACACTTTTTAATACAAGTTGTAACGGAACCGGTACCCGACCACTCTTGGGTATATTCCGTTATCCCGCAGCTTCCGCTGTCCGAACACCATCCACGGACCCCACCCCTGAAATCCCTCAGGAAAAAGACAGCACCCAGCTCTTCTTGATACAGGAAGCCAACTCTACTTTATTTTAACCCAAAACACAGGATATATACAGAGGGGCGGGGAAACACAACCAAGAACAGGAAATATTCATCATCACCCCTCCTCATCCCACCAAGACACAGAACAATGGGATGAAGCACATGGCAAAGGACATTGACCAACCCCCACACCAATACACAAACAGTACATCCCATAATAGTTGGCTGGCCAGCAAGGCACAGCACAATGGGGGGGTAGCACATGGTAAACAAACAATGTACAGCCATGTGGCCTAGACAAAGGAAAACACACAAATGCACAAGACTGGGACATTCACATACACACCCTGTACCTTAAACAGGCACAGGGTGGATTAAACATAATGATTTGGGGAGATGATACAGAGGTCCCCCACCCCCAAAAAAGTACATGGTAACGCATACACAAATCAGGAATATGAAATGTTGGGGTAACATACACTAAGAAAATAACCAACCTTTCAATATGTGCATTAATCACTGCATCATCATGTCATACTTTGTATAATGCAGTTTTTTTTAGCTCACAAGAAATGTCCACTGTCAGTAAAAGGCCTGTTGGTTGTGTTTACCTCCAAAGTCCTTTAAAGTATAACTAAAGGTAAACTTTTTTTTTAATTTTGGACAGAGTGAAAATGGATTAGAACCCCTGTCAGTTTTTGCTGCTTTTTGTGCCCCTATTAAGGAGATTCTCCCTCTATAGTCCTGTTTACCATTATCATTGAAAGTGAAAGTAAAAGAAAATCCCACATTATGGGTTGACCCCAGAAAAGTAATAGAGGGGGACACTAGTTCTGGTGACCTGGGGGTCCCCAAGAATTCCCTTAATTTGCAGGGATTTCCTCTCACTTATTGTTGGACTATGGGACAGGAAGTGAAGGGAAATCTCCACAGATTGTGAAAAAAATCTGACTGGGATCATAACCTTCACTTACACTATCCAAAAAGAAAAAAAATGTTTTGCCTATAGTTCAACTTTAGCCACTTGTACGTACCTCCGTACATAATTTCTGAAGTAATATATTTAAAATGGCACTGCAGAAATCATGCTCAGATGGTCAGTGCACCCCTTTAATGGCTGTGAACCAAGCTATCATTGGATGACACAGTTCACAGACACAATGTACAGATTTGATCTGAGCGACTCTGTACCATGTGATAGCTGTGATGACTAGTCACAACAATTACAAATGTAAAGAGGTAAGTGTTTATATTGCACAGCCTGCCATTCCTCTTACAACAGATGAAGAGAAAAAAAGGCACAATTAATGAATGAATGGCTCAATCATTCATTAGTTCCAAATCAGCATATTAGCATATCCTAAGGTTGTGGGATAATTTTCAACCATTTCACCAACCTCCTTTCCAGTGTATTTCAGTCCTAACCTTGTCTCTGTAGGGACCTATGTATTTACCATGCTACCTCCCTTATTATGTCTGTACATTAACCTCTTCACCTCCATCCTCCCACTGTATGTAACCTGTACATTAACCCCTTCACCTCTACCTCCTTTTGCAAATGACCTGTACTTGTATTGTATCTACTGTAGTACACCATTACCAAACACAATGTTTTAAATCCCTAAATACCAGAATGTTCCTCCATTTCTAAAATATTGAGATCACCTTGGGTTATTTAACTTCCAAAAAAAGGATTATTTGGGGGTGTCCATACTGTCCTGGCATTTTTATTTGAAATGTTTTCTAACAGAAAGTAAGCAAAACAATAATTTTTTTCAACATTTTTGGTCTTTTTTTTTTTTACATTGAATGCAACCTTCCAGTGGACACCGTGGACTTCCTCGAACCATGCCTGCTACCTACCTGGTTTTCCCCAGCTTCCACTCTCTGAGATATGGAGGTCACAGTTTACCATTGGGTTTTTTATGAGCCTGTAACCTTACTTCACCATGTAAGTTGCTTTATTTTAATTCCATTAAAGTTGTGGGAAGTCTACATGCTGGCACTGTTGCCTTCTCCTTCTGTTGGTTGTTTTGATGCTATATATAAAAGTACATAAAAATACATGTATAAACAAATGCCACATAGTGACATTAGGATTAATCTGGCTCAACAAACACTGCAGTTTGCAAGTTCACATATAAAAAATTGCACTAAATTGTATAGTTTCTTTCACACTGGCAGTAATGCACAGTGGTTAGCAAGCATTCAAGGATGCTACTGAGACCTATTTTATTTTTACTTTTTTAAAATTGCCAAATGGCAATTTTACATTGTGGACCTGCACCGCAACTGTGAGCGAAGTGTTTGACAGTTGCAGAGCGGAACCATTGATCTCAAAAAGCAAATCGTACTGGCAGTGCCGTCTGTCAAACTGTGCAGCACAATTTAAAATTGCCATGGCCAAACAAAGTATTATAGTTGTGGCATGCATATAGCCCTGTTAGGTTGTAATGTTAGAATGGTGGTGGGAGGCCATGGGTGTTAAAATAGTGGCTCAACCACATGGTTTTTTGTTTGCGGTTTTAATAAATATATGAAATGGTTTTACGCTATGGGAGGATCCTTCTCCCCTTTTTTCCTTATGAGTGAGAGAGGTATATCATTTTAAGAAGTCAATGAAGAGAGGATTGCGGGGTGCAGACCCATTATGCTCAGAGTAACAAGTGCTTATGCTGGTCTATAAGATCACCATCATATCTCTCTGGTGAGTTGATCTAATTCATCTGGTGGTGGATAGAGCACTTTTTGGTGCTGTCATTGACATGATGGAATTTGCACAACAAGTAGCACTTTATTAGTAAAGAATTTCATGTATTGGATGGACACAAGGAGTTATGTTGGACTTTGTGATGATGTGACTATGTCTAAAGTTATATAATGGACACATCCCTTGCACTTTATTTATTTGATTGCACTAGTCACTTTAATAATGAATAATATTGTTTTATACATTATATTGTACTTATACTGTATGTGAGTTTAGAGGCACAGGTGGGTTTGTTTATATGTATACAGTGTTAGTTTTTACACTTTCTATTCAGGGGGATAATTTTAATATACATTTATTCTTTTGAGTTATGGATTAGGTGCGCTCTGAATGCCAATCATAGCCCTTGCCACTAAACAAAATGGTTAGCTTACAGTCCTGTTTACACGTTGCATTTGCTTTGGTTCAAAAATTATACACCATGTCGCTTTCATAGTGCTTCAAAGCATCTCCAAAGCCTCTATAAAAGTCTATGACAAAGCTTGCTTGCAGCACCTGCAGCTTTTTAGAGGCTTTTGTTCAGCTTTAGCTTCACTTTGTTTTGGAGGTATTGCAAGTATGACATATCCCAGGAAGCACTAGGAAAGCAAAAAGCGGCCCTTTTCATCCAGGTTTAAAGCTAAAAGACTTTTAATTTACTCGCCACCAACAAACACACAAACAGACACACCTGTACACACAACACACACACACACACACACAGACAGACAGACAGACAGACATGTACATACACACACACCATATAAACATGTACACATACAGACACATGTACACACACATATACAGACACATGTATACATACACAGGCACGTACAGACATGTATACACACAGATACATGTATATACACAGAAATACACATGCACAGACACATGAAGATACATACACAGACACATGTACACACAGGCACATGTACGAACATACACACACACAGACACATGTACACACACACAGACAGACACATGTACACATACATGTACATACACGCAGACACGTGTACAGATACATACATGTACATACACACAGACACATGTACATGCATACACAGACACATACACGTACACCCCCCATACAAAGTTGCAGTACTTCGTTGTTCACTCATACAGCCGGGTACTGCACTCTAGGGAGAGGCAGAGAGCACAGCACACACTCCATCCTTTGCTTTCACTGCGCTCAGCTATTGAGCAGTCTGACGGCTCCCAGTGCCAAGGACAGATCCGGCCTGAGCTCCGAGCCTGCTCAGCAAGATGGCCCTGGGGGACACACTCGCCCCCACCATAATTTCCACTCGCCATTGGAGAGCAGGCGAGTGGAAATTTTAAGCCCTGTATATATATATATATATATATATATATATATATATATATATATATATATACATACATACACTATAATATTATATATTATTAAGGCTTTTCTATCTGTGTATGCGGTCTCCCTTTTCACTGGATAACAGGTTACGCTTTCAAAAGTAATGTAACATATACACTGCTCAAAAAAATTAAAGGAACTTTGAAACCACATCAGATCTCAATGGGGAAAAATATCATGCTGGATATCTATACTGATATGGGCTGGGTAATGTGTTAGGAATGTAAGGATGCCCCATCGTTTGATGGAAATGAAAATTATGAACCTACAAAAGAACTGCATTCAAAAGACACCCAAGAATCAAAGTGAAAAAATGACGCAGCAGGCTAGTCCATTTTGCTGAAATGTAATTGCAGTAACTCAAAATGGTACTCAGTAGTTTGTATGGCCCCAGGTGCTTGTATGCATGCCTGACAATGTTGGGGCATGCTCCTAATGAGACGACGAATGGTGTCCTGGGGTATTTCCTCCCAGATCTGGACCAGGGCATCACTGAGTTTCTGGCCAGTCTGAGATGCAACTTGGTGGTGTTGGATGGACCGATATGATATCCCAGAGGTGTTCTATTGGGTTTAGGTCAGGCAAGCATGGGGGTCATTCAATGGTATCAATTATGCATCCTTCAGGAATTGCCTGCATACTCTCGTCACATGAGGTCGGGCATTGTCGCGCACCAGGAGGAACCCAGAACCCACTGCACCAGCATAGGGTCTGACAATGGGTCCAAGGATTTCATCCCGATACCTAATGTCAGTCATTCTAGAGGTCAGCTAGAGGTCTGTGTGTCCCTCAATGGATATGCCTCCCCAGACCATCACTGACCCACCACCAAACCGATCATGCTGAACGATGCTACAGGCAGCATAATGTTCTCCACTGCTTCCCCAGACCCTTTCACGTCTGTCACGTCCGGGTGAACCTACTCTCCTCTGTGAAAAGCACAGGGTGCCAGTGGCAGACCTGACAATTCTGGTTGTCAATGGCAAATGCCAATCAAGCTCTATGGTGCCAGGCAGTGAGCATAGGACCCACTAGAGGACTTCGGGCCCTCAGACCACCCTCATGAAATCTGTTTCTGATATTTTGGTCAGAGACATTCACACCAGTGGCCTGCTGGAGGTCATTTTGTAGGGCTCTGGGAGAGCTCATCCTGTTCCTTCTTGCACAAAGGAGCAGATACCAGTCTTTCTACGGCCCTATCCAGTTCTCCTAGAGTAACTGCCTGTCTCTTGGAATCTCCTCCATGCTCTTAAGACTGTGCTGGGAGACACAGCAAACCTTCTGGCAATGGCACATATTGATGTGGCATCCTGGAGGAGTTGGACTTCCTGTGCAACCTCTGTAAGGTCCAGGTATTGCCTTATGCTACCAGTTGTGACACTGACCCTAGTCAAATGCAAAACTAGTGAAAAGCAGTCAGAAAAGATGAGTAGGGAAAAAATGTCAGTGGCCTCCACCTGTAAAACCATTCCTGTTTTGGGGGCCGTCTTATTGTTGCCCATCTAATGCACCTGTTGTTAATCAGTAACACTGTTCATTTGGTGTTAGTGAAATTAACAACCCCCTCTGCTACTTAACTGACCAGATCAGTATCCCAGGAATTTAATTGACTTGATGCTTTACTCTGATTAAAAAGTGTTCTTTTTTAAATTTTTTGAGCTGTGTATTTCTAGCTCCTACACTATATAAAGGTTTGTGGGCAACTGAGGTTTTTAGACATCCCATTCCAAATCATAGGCATGTTGCCACTAACCTCTTTCCGCACCTCCCCCCTTTCTTTGTGGCTATAGCTGCCTCCATTCTTCTTGGAAGGTTTTTAGAGTGTTTCTGCTATTGTACAACAGCAGCTGGCTCTCAGAAAGACATCTGCAGTCACTTATGGTTCATGTGTATATAATCTGGGAAGACCTCACATCTGCACGCTGCACACAGCAGCAGGAAGGTGAGTGGGGTCTGGACTAGAATGGAGCAGAAGGCACACATGGTGTGCAACATGGGAACACAATAGTAGAAGGTGAGCAGGGACCAGAGTGAGAAGACTGAGCAACAGAGGCTCAGCAGATATTGATACCATGTTGGCTTTTTGCCTATCAGCCATTCCAGTCACTAAGCCGTCCTTAAAAAATAGGAATAACAGTCTGGCTACAACCTGGCTAAGTTCTTTCAGGGCTCTCAGGTGAAAGCCATCTAGTCCTGTAGATTTATTTACGTTAATGTACAACAGTACATTCCGTGTTGTGTTACTAATGTAGCGTTACCCTCGTGAAGGTCACTGTTTAATGCGTATCCCTAAGCCTCCCTCCACACAGCCAGGCAACAGGTATTTCTTTCACACAGACGTTCATCCAAAGGCAGTGACCAGTCCATTGGCTTGGTTTTGTTATTTTATTAGGGGAATTCAGGTTAGATAAGGAAATAGGGATTATGGAATGTTCTGTTGGCTTGAATCAATGGAAGGGGATGCACTTCCTTCATAGCACCCTCCTAGTCAGCTAGGGGGAGAAAAACTCCAATTTTTAGTAAGGAGGGCTGAGTAGCAGCCTTGGTGTGATAGCTAGCATGGGGTCAAATTATGGTCAGAGCTGAGAAGCTCTGCAGACCAGCTTTCTGGAATTTCCCCAAGCTCTAGAACTTTGGAGGTCTAGAAGCAGTGGGTGGATCTGAGGAGTGACTGATCTGCACTTTTGAGTAATGCTGGCCAATCCTCAACAGGAGGCTTGGCAAGGGGCCAGGACAACCCTTAAAAGTGAGAGATCCTGCTCAGCAGCAGGAGAGCTTGGGTGGAAGATAGAGAGGATGGGAGGCTGGAGAGAGGAGCCTGGGAGGGGGCCCAGATGGAGAAGGGCTCACCTACAGGCAGTGGAGCTTGGAAGGAGGAAAGCTCAGACCTTCATCGGCCCTCAAAGTGAGAACCACCTCTGTAACAGGGAAGGAGCAGCCCAGCTAGAATGCCTAGTAGTAGCCAGCAACCCACCAGCCGCACAGGAGAAGGATTAAGTGAGTTGACCTACACCCTTGGGATCTTTCAGGCATGACCGGTTAAGTGACATTAGCTGACAGCGGGTTTCAGCCATCTGTCGGCTGAAAACGGGTCACAGGAGTGCAGAATGAACTGCACTCCTGTGATCCACAGGAGAAGTACAGCCAAAAGAGCTTTTTTTTTTGCATTCCTTGTAGTGCTGGAATGCCAACGATGACCCCATAGACTTATATTTTTTTAAAGGCCATTTTTTTCTATTTAATACGTCTTATGCTAAAGTATAGCTACCCAGGGTTATCCTTAGCTCTTTTATATTTGTTGCACATTGGAATGTACTGGCTAATGTCATTATTTAATAGGTTGTGAAAGCTCTCCCATTTTTCCTCAGTGTTTCTAGAATTTGATCCCATTTAATAGCTTGTAGTATGGAGCACAATTTAGAAAAGTTGTCTCTTTTGAAATTAAGTGTTCTTGCACTAAACTCATGACTCCATTTCCTATGCTTGATGCTGAATGTAATTAATCTGCGATACTTGTTTCCTAGGTTTTCCCTAACTTCCACATCTGTAATCATCTCTGTGTTGTTTGTAATTAGCAGATCTAACTTAGGGCATCCACCAATTGACAAATAAAGTTGTCCTGCAAGACATTTTAGAAATTGCAAGCCTTAGATGAGTGAGCAGTTTTCATCTGCCCAGTCAATATCTGGAAAATGTAAGTCCTCCATTATAATAACAATGCCCTGCCTTGCCACTACCCCTAACTGTGACAGGAGATCAGACTCCTCCTCAACCTGCAGGTTGAGGAGGCCTGTAGCAAACACCCGCTATTATTTTCCATTTGTTTCTTTGAAGCTCCAGCCACAGGGATTCCACCTCCCCTAAGCCTCATTAGCAATGTTGTTCCCGTGTTCATAGCTAATCATTCTTGACAGTCACACCCCTCCCCCTCTTCTTCATTCTCTGTCCCCCCAACAGAAAGGGTACCCCTAGACAGTCGCAAGCCAGTCATGTGAGCTGTCAAACCAAGTTTCTGATATTTCCACAAAGTCAAAATCCTCCTCTTGTATCAGCAGGTCCAGTTTTTCCATTTTTATTAGCTAGACTTTCTAGCAGTCGTAAACATGCCTTTTAGTTTTGTACAATTGCATATTATTTTCTCCTTATTTGGTCTGAGACTGCAATTGGATTCTGTCAACTTATACACCTTGGGTTTACATACTCTAGGTACACTACCAGTGTTGCCCCTAGTAGCACTCTCTGACCTTTGCTCACTGCCAGCTATAACTTCCACTGATCCCTCCCCCCACCACCTAGTTTTAAACTTTCCTTCAACTTTTTGTCCATCTTCTCTTCCAACAGAGCTGCATCCTCCCCATTTAGGTACAGTCCGTCCCGTTATAGAGTTGGTAACCCACCAAAAAGTAAGCCCAGTTCTTCATGAACCCAAATCCCTCCTTTCTGCACCAATTCCTCAGCCACTAGTTAAGTTTCCTAAGCTCTTGCTGCCTCTCTGGTGTGGTTCGAGGTACAGGCAGTATTTCTGTGTTTACTGCCTTGGAGGTCCTTTTTTCAATATAGCTCCTTAGTCTCCAAAATCATTTTTAGGATGCTTCCTAAAACTTTGTCTGTATCACCAATCTGTAACATGACAGCTGGGACCTCCCCAGCCCCACCCAACAGTCTGTCCATCTGATCCGCAATGTGCCAAACCCAAGTGCCTGGTAAACAACCTACTGTTCAGTGTTGATGGTCTTCGTTATTAGTAGGACAGATAGGGCAATCTATCACAGAGTACCCTACCATGAGTATCTGCCTATCCTTTCCTGTAACCTTGCCCCCTTTACTGTAGGATTTGTTCCCCTGGGAGCTAGGGGAGTCACTGTGCTCCAGCAATGCCTTCTCTGAACTGACATCCCCACCAGCACATAACCTGACATACTGTATTTATTGGGATGTGTCAGCTTAAGACTGGCTTCTCTA